CTCCCAAAGAAGAATCAGTCACATAACCAAATCATCATACCATAAAATGTGTGACAAGTGCCAAAACCCAAACGTGCTGGGGCCAGGCTCCAAGGAGCAGAGGGAGTGGAGGCTCCAAGAGGCCCTGGGGCAGGAAGGCCCAAGGATCCTGACTCCCACCTGCTCCGGTGTCCTCCGGGGGACGTGTTTGTCCCCGCCTAGCCACTGTCCAGCCTCCAGGAGGGAAGAAGCTGATCTGGCAGCTGGGTCTTGGCTGGATTTCGGAGCCGGCTCCCTTCACACCTCAGGCTCTCTGCAGCAGTGACTGGGGAGAAGTGCACAAAAAAGGAGGATATGCACAAGCCGATTCCCACACTGAGGCCAAAGACCAGCAGTGAGCTCCAGAGAAACACGCAGCCTTGAGACAGAGGGAGACTGCCTCCCTTTTACCCCGACAAAAAAAAAAACACGAAGGAAAGGGGCCAGAAAAGAGCTGAGTGCAGCGTCTTCTGACTCCCGGACCTAACACCCTGGGGGGCTAAGCCAGCAGCCCGCCCAGCAGGAGTCTCGTTGGGTGGGGAATGCCTGAGGCACCCGGCAAGCTCTCAGGAACTCATCTCCTTCCCGCCCGCACCCCGAACCCAGACTGCGTTGCAGGGGGAGCTGCTCTGATGGCTGCAGTACAGGCTGGAGGAGTCAAAGATCCCAATCAGAGGCAGGGGTCCTCGCAGACCTGTGTTCCTGTCTCTGGCGGTTGAACTGGAATCTGATGGGGCCCTTTTGAGATAGCCTACAAACCCTGAACTCTATCGCCCAAAATGAACATCCACAATCTTCCGTGCAAATTCTAGTCTTCTCTGAGTCCCAGAGATCTGCAAAGAGGTCAGCACACTCAAAAAACCCGGACGCTCGACGAATCCAGGGGGCTGCTTTTGCACCCTCGGTCCCGGAACTTAAGGGACTTGTGCCTGCCCATCGCCACCTCCACCCGCCCTGGCCATCGGCAACAGCCATCACCAACTCCGCCGAGCTCTCTCCCATCCCGCGGCCAGGCTCGGTCTGAGCAGACTGAGGTCCTGCCTTCTGCTCCGCGGTCCTCCGAGCGCCTGAGATGGTGTAACGTGGAGGAGTCTCCTGGGAGAGGGGGCAAGGTCCCGGCCTCCAACCTCAGCTCAAGCTGCGCTGGGGTCCCAGACTCTCTGAGCGCCATCGGACAAGTTCAAGCTCTCTGGTTGCCCTTTTCACTGCAGCCATTGAGCTCCTGCTCCCCGCTCCGCTCCCTGCTAGTAGGACTCGCAGGCATTGGGAGTGAAGAAAAACTCGAGTTGCTTCCAGGTGAACCCAGAGGCTGGTTGTGGGGAGCAGAAGGCTCCCCTCTCTGGGCCTCAGTCCCTCTGTCCGATCCCAAGAGATGATCATTCTCTCTTCGCAGTATTTAAGGAAACCAAAGGCGAGAAAGCACTTGAAGCTAAGCACCTCCACCCCCACCCCCAGGCCGCAGAAAACATTTTACTTTAATCAAGTGCTGCTTCTTCCAGTTAGCTGCATCTCCTCTCTGCCCATGCGTGGGTACGGCTTGAATTTCCCCCAGCGTGTCTTTTCTCACATCTAATTTCGCCCTGAAAACAATGTAAACGACGAAGAAAACGATCTCAGGTCAGCGATGTGCCCCACTTCATCCTCTGAACTCCCTGGAAGAGGGAGGACAGGTTGTGAATCCCCCCACTTAACAGATGGTAAACTGAGGCTTAAGAAGGGCAGCAGATGGCTCAAGGCCTCCGGACCCATAACGAACTAGCTGGAATCAGAGCTCTCTTCCCGCGGTGCTGCTGCTGCGATCCGATCCTCGTTGTCTTGGGGCAGCAGCTCTGCTGTGACCAGGGGCCCCCTTCATGGCAGGGTACTGCTCTGACGCTCGCTGAGGCCATACAGCTGTGACCCTGAGGGACTGTCCCAGAGTAACCCAGTCACTGTGCTGCCACTGCATCGAGATTCTTGGACCTTATTTGCAAGCAAAGGGGCCAGGAGGTTCCGTGGCCACCGGTGGTGAGGTAAGGGTAAGTAAGGCGAGTGGCCCAGGCCAGAGCATTACGCACAAGTGAAGCTCTGAGAACTCAGGAAAAGGGGAGAGGCTGCCCACCAGCAGGTGAGGAGCACCGATATCTATTGTAAGTTTCCCTTTCAGCGCCGAACCCTCCCTGCACTGCTTTCAGCCAGCCCCTTGCCAATCGGGGCCTCGGTCCTTCCAGCTCACATTTCCAAGGTTTCCAAAGGAGAAGAGCTGGTTACTTCTGAATCTGCATGAAGGGCACCTGAGTGGGTCAAGGGAGAGGGAGGGATTTTCCATGACTCCTTGGATCTCCTCCTTTAAATTTACAAATCCTTCAGGGCACTTCAGAGAAGTCATAGGGAGAAAGCTGCCAGGGGCTTCTACAGATCACCAGCATTTCCCCCACCCACACCCACCCCAATGCATCCGTGTACACACACACACACACACACACACACACACACACACACTGTATATTAAAATATCCTTCAAGGCAGCAGGGTTTTCCAAAGGGTGCTGGGGATACACACAGGACTGAAGGCAGACACAAAGCAGATGTAAATCACCCACCAATGCCAACCTACCCCTGCTGACGGAGGAATTTTGATTTCCAAGGGACTGGAACCTAAACAATAGCTTTCAAATGGTTCTCAATTGGGTTGTTACCCCCACAAAACATTAAGTAGCACCTCCCCAGAGAAGAGGGGAAGGTGTGACCAGAGGAAAGCAAGGAAATGCCCAGACACTGAGGGAATTTTTTGTATAGTTTTGATCCAAACGGGTAAACTGTCACAGTTCACTCATCAAATCCTTTAATTCAAATTTTACATCGTGAATTCATAGACTCTTCAAAGTACAGAAATTTTAAATGCATCGTTAGAATAAAACACTCATGGACTAGAATCTTTAAGATCTTTTGCTATGAAAATATTAGGATCTTGGGGTTTCTAATTGTGGGATGCTAACTCTTGGTCTGTTAGGTCACAGTAAAGTGTGAGAAAGAGGAATTGGGATTTTAGAATAATGGGTCCACTGACAAGAAACCCGAGGATGAAGAAATCATGACACTTGAAGGTTTCTAACTTTAGCCATTGGAGCTTAACGTACAGAATCATAAACTCATGTAACCAAATAAAAGTCATGACCGACCAAAGTCAATGGTCATGAATATTACAAGAATTATTAGAATTAGATTCTTTGAGTTAAAGAATAGTGGATCCAGTACTAGCATTTCAGGTGTAAGGAAGAAGAAAGTTGTGGATTAAGAGGAGCTAAATTTTCCAATTAGACATTCCTAGACAGAAATTCAATTAAGTAATATATACCACCTTAGAGCTGCAAAAATATCTAAAATCTCAAGAAGTGGTATCAGATTTCCAGGCACAAAAATCTTAGTCCCAGGATCTTAAAATATGAGGAATACGCTTTTATACTTTGACCAGAAGCTTAAAATCACAAGAATATTGTTACAAAGACTTTAGACTTCTGGTCATGAAACCTTAGAATTACAGAATGTGGCTTCTTTGATTTATGGAATTACATTACGATAGTGACCCAAAATGTAAAGTTTGGAAATCTTATTCTAGAATCTTGGGACCACAAAATCAAGTATTGTAAGATTGATATGATGTAATCCAGTTAATATAAAATAAAAACATTTTAACAGGTTTTATTTTCCCTTTGTAAATTAAAGGGAAATTTACAAAGTAGATTAAACCTGGATTTCCGTGTCCGTGTTACTTTGGAAGAAGGAACCTGGGAGTTTTGCTGGGCGAGTGAAAAGCCTCACTCCAGTCGTTCTAGCGCCTATCCACAGCAAAAGGTCCTAATGCAAATAGTGCAATGGCTTCCACATCACGAGCTGGCGAAGCAAGGGTCTGGGTTCTCTGCCTCTTTCTTCCAAAGACTGTTACCCAATGCTTGGCGGGGCTGAGCCTGCTCCAGCTCTCCGCCACTAAAAGACTAAAACTCCCTCCCAAAGGCTGCGCTCCACCCTGCACCCACAGCCCCGCAGAAAGCTGCCTCCGGGCAAAAGCCTCTGGATTTGCCTCCAAAGCCCGGAGTCCTAAGGATGGAAGAGAACTCCGAGCTCTGCGCGTGCCCTCCCACCCTCTATTCACAGAGCAGAAAATTAAGGTCCCGCTTTCGAGGAAGGGACATCCCTAAAGTCTTTTTTTTTTTCCCCCCCGGAAAGACCAGGTAGCAAACCCTGGCCGGCGGGGCTGCCGCCGCAGGGAGTCTCAAGAGAAGCCTGAGGCTCGCCTTGGGGGCGGGAGGGGGTGTTAGCTGGAAACCAGACACCCGCAAAGCAAAAGGGTCCCAGCAGCCCGCCCCTTCCCGGGGAGGCGCGCCCACTCGGAGCACCCCGCCGCCATCACCCCTCGCAGCCCTCACTCTCCGCGGAGGAAGGGGCGGGCGGTTCCCGGTCCCCTGGGTCCTGGGAGTCCTTGGAGCCCTCTCTGACCACGAGAGGGCGGAAGCCCAGCCTTCATCCCTAAGCTGCGCGCACTCACCACCGCACCTACAGAGAGGGGTCTCGAGTCACCCTAAGACAGAAGATTGCAGGTCGAGGGCGGCCTTTCCCTTAGTATCCCCGTAACATCGGGCAATAGAAGGAATCTAGAGATGCAAACCCTCCGTACAGTGCGGGGTCCCTCGCCCCAAAGAAAGAGTGGCTGTCTGCAGGGCAGTCCGAACAGACACGGGTGTGAGGCTTCCCTCGCTGCAAAATCACCGCGGGGCTCTGGCAAGTCACCTCCCCTAACGGGTCTAGGAATTCTCCTCTGAACGACGAGGGACTGGACGGGGAATGGGCAAGCAAGTCTTGCCTGGGGTTTGTTTGCAAATCATTTTTTGAGTCACCTGGAAAGTCACCTTCCTGGTCCCCCACCCAACAAGAAGCGAGCGCCAGTCCTGGCCAGTTCTCACCCCCTGTGCACAAAAAGCAAAGCAGCCCCTTCCTTTCACCTGTGGGTCCCAGCGCTCTACAGAGGCTGGAAATGTCCGGGAGCGCTGAGCGCGGGCGCCGAGATCCCCAAAACAGTCCCTTGGCCTGAGTCTCCCCGTCGGCGGCGCGCAGAGGAGGCCGGCCGGCCGGGGATCGCCCAGCACCCTCCCCGCTCTGAGGTTCGGGGCTCCCGCCTCCACTACCGCGGCTCCTACCTGGAGAGGTGCCTCTGGGCGCAGGGGGCGGGCAGTCGGGGGGCGGGCGGGGAGCGGGCGCCGCCCTAAGCTTCCTGGCGCCTTTAAGGGGAAGAAGCCGGTGGAGGGAGGAGCCGTCCGAGGCTGTGCAGCGGGGAGAGCCTCTCCGGCGGGGTCGGCGGAGGCCAAGGCTGCGGAGAGAGAGTGGCCAGCCGGTCGCCCCGCCTGCCCCGCGCCAGGACCTCGAGGCCCGCGCCTCGCCTCCCCGCCCGCTTCGCATCCGCAGCCTAGAGACCCCATCAGAGCGCACACGCCCTTGCTGGTTGCCCGTCTGGCCTTCACGACCTCGACGGTTATCCTCTGATCAGCGGGAGCCCAGCCTTGGGGCAGGCGCCTCGGCCCCAGGACCGCTGCTGCCAGACCCGTTGACACTGCCTGTTGGCACCGGCGCCAAAGGACCGCTCAGCCCGCGACGGGGCCTCGTCCGGGTCCCAACGCCACTGCCGGCGCCTGGCCTCGAGCTACCGAACACGAGCAGCGCCGTCCGGGGGCGGGACACGCCGCCGCAGCTCCGTCCCCGCCGAGGCAGCCCGAGCGCCGCGGGAGCCGAGCCTGCAGCGCGCTCCCGCCGGGGAGGGCAGCCGTGCTCCGGAGCCCGCCCGGCCGCGAGGGCCGCGAGGACCTGGGGAGCTCTCCGAGGAGCCCCGCGTCCTTCCCCGGACCTGCGCGCCCGGCCTGCGGCTCTCGGACCCGGACCCGCCCCGACCCTCGACGGAAGCGCGCGGCGGGGACGCGACGGCTGCACCATGACAGCCGAGAGCGGGCCGCCGCCGCAGCCGCCGCCGCCGCCGCAGCCGGAGGCGCTGGCCGCCGTGAAGGAGGAGCGCGGTGAGGAGGGCGCCGGGGTCCCGGCGGCGGAGGCGGCGGGTCGCGGCGCGGGCGGGCGGCGGCGGAAGCGCCCCCTGCAGCGCGGGAAGCCGCCCTACAGCTACATCGCGCTCATCGCCATGGCCATCGCGCACGCGCCCGAGCGCCGCCTCACGCTCGGCGGCATCTACAAGTTCATCACCGAGCGCTTCCCCTTCTACCGCGACAACCCCAAGAAGTGGCAGAACAGCATCCGCCACAACCTCACGCTCAACGACTGCTTCCTCAAGATCCCGCGCGAGGCCGGCCGCCCGGGCAAGGGCAACTACTGGGCGCTCGACCCCAACGCCGAGGACATGTTCGAGAGCGGCAGCTTCCTGCGCCGCCGCAAGCGCTTCAAGCGCTCGGACCTGTCCACCTACCCGGCCTACATGCACGACGCCGCCGCCGCCGCCGCCGCTGCTGCCGCCGCCGCCGCCGCCGCCGCCATCTTCCCGGGCGCCGTGCCCGCCGCTCGCCCGCCGTACCCCGGCGCCGTCTATGCGGGCTATGCGCCGCCGTCGCTCGGCGCGCCGCCCCCGGTCTACTACCCGGCTGCGTCGCCGGGCCCGTGCCGCGTCTTCGGGCTGGTGCCCGAGCGGCCGCTCAGCCCCGAACTGGGCCCCGCGCCGCCGCCGCCGCCGTCGGGCCCCGCGGGCTCCTGCGCCTTCGCGGCGGCCAGCGCCGCCTCTGCCGCCGCCGCCACCGGCTACCAGCCCGCGGCGGGCTGCGCGGGCGCCCGGCCCGTCAACCCCGCCGCCTACGCGGCCGCCTACGCGGGCCCGGACGGCGCGTACCCGCAGGGGGCCAGCGGCTCCCTCTTCGCGGCGGCGGGCCGGCTGGCGGGGCCGGCCTCGCCCCCCGCGGGCGGCGGCGGCGTCGGCGGCGGCGTGGAGGCCGCCGTGGACTTCTACGGGCGCACGTCGCCCGGTCCGTTCGGGGCGCTGGGACCCTGCTACAACCCCGGCGGGCAGCTCGGAGGGGGCGGTGCAGGTGCCTACCACGCTCGCCCCATGGCCGCCTACCCTGGCGGGGTGGATCGTTTCGTGTCCGCCATGTGAGCCGAGCAGACGGTGGGAAAAATTCATAGATGCCCTGGCTGTTTACACAGAGTATCCCCAAGACTGAGGACAGGACCGGAGAGAGGGCCCAAGTGAGGGCTCCGGAGAAGAGGCGCGGACAGGAGAGTCAGCCTCCCTCGCGTACACACCGGGTTAGCCGTGTACATGGGAGGAGGACGCTGGGAGAGGCGGCTCAGCTCGCGGACTGGGACAAAGGACCCCCCCATCGGGTGACGCTCCCAAAGACATGCCTTTCACGGGGCGTAGTGTGTCCACACCAGACTCTAGGATCCGAATCACATGACTTCACTCTTCCCCGTGCGGCGGGGAAACACGGGCCTTTTTACACGGGTTCCGCCTCTTGTGCCTGAAAACTATGTTACTGCAATAAAAAGGCTCCAATAGCGCCTTACTTTTAAGGTGAGGAAGACAAGTTTGCAAAAAGAAGTAGTTTTGTTGTTTTCTTTTGTTTTGCAACTAGGGAAATCGCTCTGCTTTGCCTGGCCTGCCGCTGGTTTGCCCTGCCTTTGAGAATAGCAGCTATGGCGGAGTCTGGACTGTGCCTCAGCTCCACAGTGTGACCCAGTACCATCACCCACACCCCAGTCTCCCAGCTGTTACACAAGAGGGCTGCGGCATTCCCATGATCTTTAAGGGCCTAGCACCCGTGGATGCTGGCCTGTATGTTTGGCAGCATTCATGGGCCACCCAGGGCCTAAACTAGCCCTATTGCAGGGAATTAGAACAGAGCTCATGGCAAGCATCTAATCTAAAGTCTCTGGATTCGCTCCAGGCCGTCATTATATCTTAATTTCTTGAATCTTTTGAGCATGATGTGCTGATCATTTGGCAGCTGTTTCATCTGGGTCCTAAATGTAGTTTTCCAGTGAAGCAGGGAGAAATACATTTGTCCATGCTCCACTCTTCCTTTTCATCAAGCAGCCCTGGACCCAGTGGATGAACTCAAGTTCAAAGGGGTGACAAGGACTCAGGGGAGCCCATTAGTGACGCTTTCAGTTTATGGGGTTGGCTGTTCCCATCCCTGGCACCCTCTGCCACCCTCTCCCCATGCAAAAAGGAAAGTGAAAAATTAATTGAGGTGGTTGGTGAAGTAAACTTTAGAAAGAAACTAGATTTTTTTTTAAATTTTTGTTTTGTATCCGTTTGTTTTGAGAAGCAAGCTAACTAAAAGCAGAAATCCAACAACTTTCCCACCTTTCTCTTGAGAAATCTTGTAAGTTTCTATTCTGGAGTAAACATGCCCAGCGTTAAGTATTTCAGAGGCTCGGGTGCAGCTTTCAGATGAACTGTTTTAATGAAAATCTGCGCAAGTGAGTTCCGGCAAGAGAAACTCGGCCTCTTTCTGCGTAGTTAACTTGGAAGGGAAGGATGGTGGGTATGTGAAAAAGAAGACTGAAAACCACTGGTACTTATTTTTAATTTGGGGGATTTCGCTGTCCCGTTCACATGCATATGAATGTGATTCATTCCAGGCGGGTATTTCTAATTCAGTGTTGTCCAATAGAAATAGAATGCAAGCTACATGTGTAATTTAAGTTTTTCTAGTAGTCACAATAAAATAAAAAAACTGAGATTATCTAATAATATTTTGTATTTAAACCAATATATCCAAACTATCATTTTAACATATAAGCAATATAAATATTGTTGAGATGCTTTATTTTTTTTATACTAAGTTTCCAAAATCTGGAGTGTATTTAACAGCTTTAGCTCATCTAAATTTGGACTAGCCACATGCCCCGTGCTGGGTGGGAGTGTGTGGCTGCTGACTACTGCGCTGGACAGTACAGGTCTAGATGCTGGCCCTTCCTGACTTTGGTGGAGCTAAATGACCACCTGGAGGCCAAAGGTGGCAGGAGCACTGACCCTGCTGACCGTGAGTCTGGGTTCGAGTCCCAGCCTTTTGAACTTGGAAAATTCTAGGGGTTGGTCATCATCTCCATATGGACCTGTGCTGCTACACAATGGTATGAAATTCAAAGGTTCTCCATGAAGAGAGAGAGACCGGCTGGCTCTCCTAAGCAGAAGTCAGGACGCCTTGCCTACTTAGTTGGAAGCCCTGGAAATGGAGAGCCCTCCACCCAAGGGTTTTGTCCTTGGCTGCTAACAGCCCAGCAGGGGATTTGGGCTGGGAAAGGATGGTCTATGAGCCCTGTTAGTACAGGAGTGTACCCTTTCTCTGTGTTTTTTAAAATTACCAAGTCATTTGACAGCGCCAATAACCTTAAAACATTGTCCTAATCTGTGTGACCTCCTATCTCACAGAGTCCTTCTAAAGTTGAACAAGACACCAGAGGTGAAAAACTCTTTGTGAACAGTCAAGTACCAGGCACAGGAGGGAGGAAAGGCTTTAAAATAAAAAAGTGCCACCTTGCCGAGACTGGTTTGGCTCAATGGATAGAGCGTCGGCTTGGGGACTGAAGGGTCCCGGGTTCGATTCCGGTCAAGGGCATGTACCTTGGTTGCGGGCATATCCTCGGTGGGGGGTGTGCAAGAGGCAGCTGATAGATGACTCTCTCTCATCGATGTTTCTAGCTCTCTCTCTCTCTCCCTTCCTCTCTGTACAAAATCAATAAAATATTAAAAAAAAAAAAAGTGCCACCTTATCCCCAAGCCTTCTGGAGCATCATCGGGAAAGGAGAAAGATGGAGTGTCAAGTGCCCGCGCCTTCATCCCCCGCTAGGAACACAGTCCAAAGCCAGGGTCTGTGCCCAGAGAGGACGCGAGGAAGGGACTTGGTGTGAACAGTGGGCACCAGGAGAGACCCTCGAGGGTTGGGATCAAGGCTTTGACAAAGGTCAGACCTCCAACACCCAAAGTTTGAGTGCCACCGGGGGTGGCCTGGCTGAACAGAGCGAGCACCGGCTCCGCTTCCGCGGGGGTAGGGAGTTCGGGGAGACCCTCCGAGTAACTGTAGGCTCTTGGAAACATTTCACTGCAGCGTTTTGGAAATTCCAACTTCAAGAACCCCCCAAACCGTGGGACAGGACCTCCCGCTTCCCCATCTGGGGGCTCAGAGAGGGAGGTGCGTTTCTCTTAGTTTTTTGTTTTTCTTTTCTCTCTCTCTTTACTTTTCCTTCTTCCTGTGATGAAGCCAGAAAAATCGCTGGCCCCTCTCGGAGCCCCACGCCCCGGCGCTGTGTGCAGGCGCCCCCAGGCCCTGCGCAATTAGAGGCCTTCTCACCTAATTGCCCAAGGCTCATTAGAATTCGCCCCAGAGCTGTAATAACATTTATTCTCTTTCAAATTAACTTCGCTCGCAATTAAGCTCAGGAAACCGGCAACAAAAGCAGAATTTGGCCCGAGGTCGTTTACCCGAAAAACGGATTAGGGCGCCTTCTTCCTCAGTTTTAGGGAAAAGATTACAATTCCCACAGCAGAGGTGAGGGGAGCGTGAGCTGCTCAGGATGGCTGACGGCGAATCCTCCTCATCTCGGTGATTCGTGTGCCCAGAAGAGTAAGAGTAACTGTTGAAATGAATCCGTGCGATGAGAGCTGAACTAAACAGCCATGACGTGAAGCAGCGGCATGCAGTTCCAGTTTACTCAGCACATTCATACATCGCCGTATTTACTAAGAACCTTGTGAGAACTTTCTTTTACTAAAATTAAGTTTCTTTTTAATACAAAATTGGCACACATTCATTTATTTTTTGAAAGAAAGAAGAAATGTCAAAGGAACCCATAGCTCACTAGGAGAAAGCACAGTAAACACCCCAGAATTTTTTTTCTAGTTTTTGTTTTTCCTGGGTAGGAAGCCTGTGCCGGAACTTTGTCACTGAAATGCTAAGATCTTTTTTTTTTTTTTTTTTTTTTTTTTTTTTTTAGTAACTTTTTGATTTTTCAATCACGGTTGAAATGCTACGAGATCTTGAACAAGTTTCTTCCTGCACTGGGTAGGCCTCAAGTCCCCTTTCATTCTCTAACTCCTCTTTTCTTGGTCATTTGAATCCCAGATACAGTTCTCCAAGGGCCAGGAACAGGCTTGGAGAGAGACTTAGAGCTGAGGTGCGCCCTCCCTGCCACTTTACACAAGAGACCGAGACCCTGAGGCCGTGCAACTCTTAAGTGGAGGCCATAGGCCAGCTGCATGGACAGCCCCTGGGAACTAGACATGCTAGACACGCAGAGTCCTGGGCCCCACCCCAGATTTACTGGACCAGAACCTGCATTTCAACAAGCCCCTCAGGTGATGCATTTGTCCTAGAGCAGTGGTCGGCAAATCGCGGCTCGAGAGCCACATGCAGCTTTTTGTCCCCTTGAGAGTGGCTGGGCGTTAGAACCACTTCTTCAAAATAGACTCGCCCAGGCCGAAAACTGACTTTGGCGCACAGGCCACAAAGTTTCAATCGCACTGTACGTGCGTGCCCGCACGTGGTATTTTGTGAAAGAGCCACACTCAAGGGGCCAAACAGCCACATGTGGCTCACGAGCCACAACCACTGTCCTAGGCAAAGAGGTAGAACATTAGAAAAAAGGGGGTGGGGAGAAATGTGCTATCAGAGGTCCAGAATAACTCCCAGGAACCTCCTGTTTCTGAACTTCCTTAGAGCTAAAGAGGAGGCACATGACTTACCAAGCTCTCATCACTAAGTGCCCAACCAGACGAGAACCTGTGCCTCCCCCAAGGGAGACTGTATTTGATTATCATTTTCATACAAGGCAATGTGGAAATGGAAGAATCGTATGGAGGAAGGAGAAGGAAGCTCAGGGTTAGACCCTCCATTGTATGGATGGGTATAATCTGGGCCCGGGTCTGCTTTACTAAACAGTTTAGGACAACCCAAAGGGAAAGGCACTAACCCAAAGGCTAGTGCTTCTCAGCCCAAACTGAGCGGTGAACTAAAGAAAAAATGGGTGGACAGATGGGGGGTTAGGATAGGAGGTTCTTCATGAGTTTGCCACTGGTCATTCCCTGAGCCTGCTCTCTCTCAGCAGAGCTCCTGGGAGAGGATAACCGCTCTCTAAAATTCCCAGTGCCCCTCTGTCAGCCCTGCAATCCCCCTTCTGAGAGCTGAGGCTCACATCTCCAGCTCAGCCCTGACGGGTTAACCAGGTACAAAAGAAGGTAGTCAGGGATCATCCGTCAGGCCCTCCCAGGTGAGAAAGGGATTGGGAAACTGGAATCAGGGTGGATCTCAGCTTTGGTGGAAAGAACCAGCTTATCTCACCCGCTATGTGTGGGCAGAGCAGACCCTCAGCCTTGGTTTTTCAGGCTTGGAGGCACTCGGCAATGAGAGATAAAGTGTGAGAACCACAGCATCACAGAGCCCAATTCTCGCCTCTGCTGTCAGTCCCCAGCAGCCAGCCAGGACCTCTGCATGGGTTCTTCTCAACCATGGTATGAAACATATATTTGAGAAACATATATTTAATATTAGCCTTTTCATAGTTTCCCCCTCCCATGTAACACTTTCCTTTTACCCTAAATTTTCATCAGAGTCTATACAACTATTCAACCTTGGTTGAAGTGAGGTCTGCTCACATTTTTCCTGTTCTGGTGCTCAAAAAATGTCCTATCATGGGACTGGACACAGAGGTCTTGGTGGTAGAGCTCAGAGTGACCAAATGAAGCATGTTGAGGTACAGTGGGCAACACTGAACAGAAATAAAATAATACATCCTCTTTCCGGAATATTGAAAAAGAAGGTGTGCCAGACACTGTTAGCTGTGGTCACATGTCCCTGATCTTTTCCAGGTTTCAGTTGGTCATGTGTTCCAGGGGAAGTCTTACCCCTTGGGGTACCCCTGGCTCAATCTTAACTTGTTAAGGTAAGCATGGTGATCTTTCATCACTCCTGCCAGTGATTTTTTTTTTTTTTTCTAAAAGAGAGAGGAAGGGAGAGGGAGAAACATCAATTGGTTGCCTCCTGCATGCACCCTACTAGGGATCATCAAACCCACAACCTGAACATGTGGCCTGACCAGGAACCAGTAA